GGGAACTAACCCTTTTATTCCCGCCATTATCCACCAAAAGTCGCATTTCTACAGCTCCGCGCCTTTCCATAAACCCCGGCAAACCCTACCCACCCTCGTTTAGGCGAAAAAGAAAGAGACAAGGAAACCTGTCTTCGAAGCAACCCTAGCAAGGAGGATGTTGGAGCTTAGGCTAGTGCAGGGAAGTCTTCTGAAGAAGGTCATCGAGGCGATCAAGGATCTGGTGACCGATGCTAACTTCGATTGCTCGGCGACGGGGTTCTCCCTCCAAGCAATGGACTCGAGCCATGTCGCCCTCGTTGCTCTCCTCCTCCGATCCGAGGGCTTCGAGCACTACCGCTGCGATCGAAACATCTCTATGGGGATGAACCTCAACAACATGTCTAAGATGCTGAAATGCGCTGGAAACGATGATATCATCACCATCAAGGGCGACGATGGTAGCGACACTGTCACTTTCATGTTCGAGAGCCCTAGTAAGGAGAAATCTTTCCGGTCTTTTTTTGTTCCCTTTTTTCTGAAAATTTTCTGTTAATAGTTCTATTTGGTGGATTTTATTTACGTGATTTCTTTTTTGTTTTTTTGGGGTTATACGTCGCCTTGCATTCTCTGTTTCGTTTCTTCTACCATTGTTTTTCGTTGGTTATTTTGTTGAACGACCTTTTCTATTCCGGCATGTATAAACTTCTCGTTATTTGATCGAACATTGAAGCTTTTTTTATTAAAGCACTTAATTTTTTTCTCATGTTATTCTTTGTCGATTTGTGCCGTTCTCACTGTAATTATATTTTTTTAATACTATCATTCCGTCAGTTCATATTGTTGAGCTCATCTAATTTGCTCTCGATTATTGAGCAGAACAAGATAAGATTTCAGATTTTGAGATGAAGCTTATGGACATTGACAGCGAACATCTAGGCATTCCAGAGGCAGAATATCATGCAATTGTGAAGATGCCGTCTTCAGAATTTGCAAGAATTTGTAAGGATCTCAGCAGCATAGGAGATACTGGTAAAAATTATTGTAGAAGCTACAAAGCCTTTTACAGGGCAGAATCTGTTGCTGGTTTCATCATCTAATAAATTTTTTGGCTTGTTTATGCAGTTGTTATTTCAGTTACCAAGGAGGGAGTTAAATTCTCTACCAGAGGGGATATTGGAACTGCGAACATAGTCTGTAGGCAGAATAAGACTGTTGATAAGGTATACATTTCTTCAGTCCGCATGCTTAATTGAATTGTAAATTACAAATATATTTTTTCTTTTTGTTGGGCCAACAGATTTTGCCACTGCAAAAATATTTCTCATTTCAGCATTAGAACTTAATAATTTTTTTACCGCGAAAAAACTTTTTTGTTCAGTATGGATAACAATTTCTATAGAAGTTATTGTTTTTTCAAATCAGAATTTTTAGCCATGACATGTTTCTAGTCTCTCAAGCTCTGTGTTTTATTCTTATGTAAGATTATTTTTAGAACTTGTGTACCTAGTCAAGATTGATTTAAAAATAGAATCTTGTAAGTTGTGCACATTGATTCATAGCTACATTTCCTCCATATATGTACCTCCTTATTTGTGTTCTATTTCAATAGAGTTCTAAGATTATTTTTAGAACTTGTGTACCTAGTCAAGATTGATTTAAAAATAGAATCTTGTAAGTAGTGCACATTGATTCATTGCTACATTTGCTCCATATATGTACCTCCTTATTTGAGTTATATTTCAATAGAGTTTCTATGTTATTAGGAAATTACGTTATGAATAGTTATAGTTTTCAATCTCATTATTTTTTAAAAAAAATCACTTTCTACCTCTGCAGTTTTGTAAAAGTTCTACAATCTGTATTCAAGGCATAAACTTTATCTTAAGGTTAAACATTTACTTGTTCATTAGTTATTTAAACACTGTTTTGTTAGTAAATATTGTTTATAATTTATGTTTCTTGATTGTAGGCATGTCTTTAGTTTCTATGCATTTGCATATTTTTAATTTGTGTATGAAATGGTTTGCTTGCTTCAGGATACTAATATTGAAATCTCAAATACTGCTCAAATATTTTTTTATTGTTTATTGCTCGCTTATTTTATGTTGGTTTTAGTAAAGTGGTACCTGCATATATTGGTCTACTCCATAACATTCTCATCAAGTTAAACAATTTATTTGAATGTCTTTTCTTTTAACTTAAACCCCAATTAATTCATATAAAATGGGGCCACACTAGAAGCCCATATGGAAATTGATGTGATTAAATTCAAATTTATTGATCAATGGTATTAAAAATGTTAAATTAGTGATCTTTGCTTATTTTATATTTGGTTCGATGGTCTGGCGTTTGAGATAATGTCAGTATATTCAACATCGTATTGTTTTTATGCTAAGGAACTTGTATATAGATATTAATATTTTATGTTAACAATCCTTGCATATGATAATCTATTGAGTATCTTGAAAGTCTTATATCCACTAAATTCTTATATATATATTTCAAAGATTTTTATAACCAACTAAAATATTTATATTTTTAGAAATGCTATTTTGATAAAAAGTTATATCAAACAAAACAATGAAGCATGCACTGAAAATACATGCACTCATGTCTTTTTAGTATTGATTAATACACCTCTATGTAATTAAGGCACTTGTTATGTATGGATCTATTGGGGGAGTGTAGCAATTGTTTTTATTATATCTCAAGTTTTGCTAGTGAATGAATTTTTTGAGCAACAGTTGTTTTAGCCTGAGTAGAACTGTGTTGTTGTTTTCAATTTCATCATTTTGGTCAAAGTTTATTGCTGTAAGTTGGCAGTATACTGTGGAGAAATATACTTGTTGAACAAAATGTCAAATGAATTCCTTTCTTGATTATTACCTGTTCGAATTTAATTATTTTTGAAGTTCAAACATATAAATGAATTTACTCGAATATCTTTGTTTTTGTATGTTATAGCTTATTTTGATGTTTAGCAGCTGCTTGATTTGAGTTTTACATTTTATTGTATGGTGCCTTTTCCCAGTAATTTAATAAATCATGCGGTATTGGATTGTTTCTTTTAAAGCTTATTTTTACCCATCATATTAATCCATCTGATTTAAATTATATTTCATTCCATTTGCACTGAATTGTGATAACGAAGCTGATTGAATTGAATTCAAATTTAATAAACAGGAGCAAGGAATTATCATTTCAAATTAATGCTCTACATAAAACTAAATTTGGCTAAAAGGGCCTCTATTTTAACTTTTAAAAAGTGAATACACCTTTTTACGTATCGGTAAGGTGGCACATATGTAATAAAATAAAGTTTAGATGTTTAGATATGTAAGCCCATAAGAATTTAGTGTTACGTATGCAAATATTTCTATTTCAAATTAGTGCATTAGAATTCTAGCTAAGCTTCACCAATTTATGCTCTTGCATTTTTCATATCCATCTCTAGACATGAAACTTGTAGAACATATTTCAGTGTGTTGGTTTGTCTTTGCAGACAATTTTTATTCAGATCTTAATTGTTCTATTTTTTTTTTT